ACTGGCAGGGCTAGAAGGCCGAGAGAAAGACTTGGTGTCAGACCCCTGAAAGGATGTCTCCCGACTTCCACATGGCCCCTGAGCCCATATCTCTGGAGATGCAGCCTCCCTCACAACTAGAATCATTCTGTATGAACCCAGCCAAGGTACTTCAGTGCCCCGCCCCCATCTGCCTCAGCATACCCAGCCTGGCCTGTGGGCTGGGCAGTGAAGCTCCAGCCTACTATACAGTTGGGAGAACAGAGGCCACAGGTCAAGGGGACTTGCTTAAGGTCACTCAGATAGTGAGGGGGCCCCAAATCCAGGCTGGGAAAAGGCTGTGAGTACATAGGAGAGGTTCTGGATACAGCCTCAGCCTCCTGGTCTGTGAAATGGGAGATGATACCTAGAGGCCACTTCAGCCCTGACAGCTTGGGGCAGCCTCAGTTTCCCCAAGCAGAGAAAGGCCCAGTGACTCCTTCAACCAAACTTGAGAAGCAGGTACTCTTAGCAGCCACCTCATTTTATGGAAAGGCAAACTGAGGCTCAGGGAAATGCCACCTCTCATCCAGGGTGATATGCTAGTGGCTAAAGGGGCATGATAAGTGAGTCCAGAGCCTGACCTTTAGCACGAGGTGGCCCTCCTCTTAAGCCTGGACTTGAGTCTGTACACATGGGAGAATGAGTAATGGCCTGTGACTGGACTCCCCGTGGCCCTGCAGAGCCTGGCGGAAGCAGCACATGCACCTTGTCACATCTAATCCCCAATACAACTGAAAGGAAAGGAGTTGACACCCTCCAGGGTCACAACGCCAGACCCAGGACTTCAGGACTGCCTGCCGCCCAACCCCAAGTCGGCTCCTTACCTGCAGCAGCTTCAGTAGGACCGCCGAGTCCCGATCCCCAGTGGTGTTGAAGAGCAAGACTCGAACCTCGGTCCCACTGAGCCAGAGGCGAGGAGCTGGGTCAGAGAACACCCCCCCACTGCCCCGCCCCGGTCCTCCCACCGGCCCACCCCCCGCCCCTGCCTACAACCCCGCCCCTCCATGTGGGCTCGCCCCTCCCCTCCCCATGGGCCGGCCCAGGCCCCGCCTCCGGCCCCGCCCCTCACCTGCTCTGCCTCTCGCGGCTCTGCAGCGCCCGGCGGAACCAACGGACGCAGGCCTGCACGCTGCTGGGGGTGTGTGCCCCGTCCAGGTACCAGGTGAGGGGCCCGCGCCGCAGCACCTGCGTCCGGCCCAGCCACTCCGTGTTTCGAAGCCCTGGGGGAGGGCAGCAAGGCAGTCCTTCAGGCCCTCTCCCACCCCGGTCCTCAACTCCGCACACACACTCCTGAGCCTGCTCTCCCCGACCCCACAGGCTGCGCCCGCCCTCTGAGCACTCTGAGGACCCCGGCAGCCCGGGAGCTTCTTACTAGCACCAGTCACACTGGCTTGGGCTTTTCGGCTGCCTCATCTGGTGGAATCTTCCAGGCAACCCTGAGAGAGGCTGCTATCATGTATGATTCCCGTTTGACAGCCCGAGAGCCCTTGGCTGGAGCCGGGACGTGATCCGAGGCCTGCCTGTCTCCAGGACCTCGTCACTTGCCCCTGACACCAGGCACGGCACACAGTGGGCCCACCATTTGCTGAAGGGGTTTAACAGCATGAGCACCTGCTGGGTGCCGAAAGCTTTGGGGGAGATGACTGGATCACCGTCCTCTGGGACCTCAGGGTCTGATGACAATGACAGTGACAGTGACAGCAGCTACCACTGGCTGGCACTTTATCCCACATTGGCCAGGCTCTGGACTTAGCACCTTAGTGATGTCACCTCAACAAATCCCCACCACAGCCCTTGGCAATGGCTCCCATCATCATCACATTTGGCAGATGAGAAGATAGGCTTAGAAAGAGATCATGATGAACTCAAGGCCTGGGAGGTTTGCTGACTTCAGAGTCCTTTCTCTTAGGCACCACTTCAAACTGTCTCTATCTCCCAAACAGAAAACAAACAAAAAAAAATCTGAAAGGGCGCTGGTCAAGAAGGTCCAACTCACCAAGCCGCATGTGGGATGTGGGCTGGAACACGGGTGCCAGGGGCAGCTGCCACAGGAGGCCTGGCCTGGATGCCTTCAGCTCCCCAGCATCTGCAGGGTGTGTGTGACCGTGTGCCCAGGAAGCTCCACAGATAGGCAGGCTCCACAGGTCCCGCCCACCTGCCTGCCCACTCACCATGGTGGTTCTGCCACTGCAGCCAGCAGTGGGCCAGCTGTAAGGCCAAGGCGGCATTGGACCGCTGGTGCTCCCCCTCCAGGCCCAAGGTCAGCGGCAGCCCCCCTTCCTCCAGGGCCTCCAGCGGTGGACACAGGTAGAGAGGACACTGAGGGAGACAGGCAGGAAGGTCAGCAGAGGCCCTCCCCTCCCCCAGCCACCAAGCCCTGCTCCCAGAACTGAGATGTGTTCCAGCTGGCCCGGCAGCTGGCCCAGCTTCCTCGCTGCACAGATGAGCAAACTGAGGCCCCAAAGGACAGTGTGTCTCCTCAAACAGGAGGGACACACACCCCCGCCACCGCCGCTGCCCCATTCCAATCAGACTCACTGAGATCTGCTGGGCTCGGTCCCTCAGCACTGCCAAGGGACCTTCAGGCTGCAGCACAGTGAAGGCAGGGACACCTTGCTGTAGAGGGAACGAGGAGAGAGAAAGGGCTGCTGGGCATCTTCCACACTCCTATCTGGCCCCACATCCCTCGGTCTGGGCTACCACTGCCTCTCATCCCTCATGTTTCTGGGGGTTTTTTTGTTGTTATTTTGTTTTTTTGAGAGTGTCACTCTCACCAGGCTAGAATGCAGTGGCACGATCTCGGTTCACTGCAACGTCTGCCTCCTGGGTTGGAGCAATTCTCCTGCTTCAGTCTTCCCAGTAGCTGAAACTACAGGCGCACACCACCACTCCTGGCTAATTTTTGTGTTTTTAGTCGAGATGGAGTTTCACCATGTTGGCCAGGCTGATCTCAAACTCCTGACCTCACGTGATCCTCCTGCCTTGGCCTCCCAAAGTACTGGGATTACAAGCATAAGCCACCATGCCCAGCTATCCCTCATGTTTGAATGGGGAAACAGGCTGGAGAGGAGGCTCAACTCGTTCCAGTCACACAGCAAAGCCAGTATGAGAAAGCAGACCCCACTGATGCCCAGGACCTTGTCCTGAATGGCCATGCCCCAGCCATGCCCCAGCCTTGCCTCTTTGGGCTTAGTGAGGCCCCAGTCTGCCTCGTCACCTTAAAGATGCCCCCTTTCTGCCATGCAATCTTCTCCACCGTGTCCCCCAGGAGGCTGGTGTGGTCGATGCCAAGAGAGGAGACTCCGCACACCACAGGCTTCCTGCAGTAGAGGAAAAGGCCATGAGGGCCTTGTCCTGAGCCACCAGGTGGCAGGTGAGGCTGTCCTGGCTGCCACCCCTTGCCCTGAGCAACTGCGCTCACCTGATGATGTTGGTGCAGTCATAAGCCCCACCAATGCCCACCTCCACCACTGCCAGGTCCACCTGCCAAAGATCAGAGGGCACAGCAGGGGGTAAGAGGGTGCCCAGAGGCCGGATGGAAGCAGGGAGCCCCCAGGCCTGCTGAGGTTCCTGTTCCCAAGACATCAGATGCAGGGTTCTAGGGAGAGGGCACACACCTTCTCTTGGAGGAAGACGTGGAAGGCCATGAGTGTCAAAAAGCGGAAGTAGGGGGGCATGGAGACACAGCTGCCGTCCTGTGGCACAGGGACATGTCAGAGCCCAGAGCCCCTGCAGCCCCTCCTCTGGGGAGACGGGGTGCTGGAACAGGTACCACCCCCAACCCCGCCCACCCGCCAGCCCTCCTGCACGGGGCACCTTGGTCTCCTCCAGCCGTTGGTAGAGGCGCCAGAAGTACTTGGTGAAGAGGTCACGACTGATGGGCTGCCCATTGATGCGGATCCGCTCCCGAACCTGCACCAGGTGGGGAGAGCTGCCGGGACAGCTGGGGTCGTCAGGACTCCCTTCCCGAGCGTGCTGGCTTTCCCCCACCCTGCAGGGGCTGATGCCACTAGCCTCTGTGCCTCACCTCTCCTGTGTCCCTTGGTCTGTTCCTGGTGTCCCATCCCCCCTGGACTACCTGTAGACCCCCAGTCCTCGCCCTCTTCTATCTCCAGGCCTCTGCATCTGGCTCACCCTGCTTACCACACAGGTCTCAACTAAGACAGCCCCTCCTCACCCAGGCTGGCCTCGCACATTCTATGGGCTTCAACAGTCTCATACCAATCAGTCACTCTCCTGACATCTGCCCCATAATGCCATCTGTCTTACAGCTCTCAGAGACAAAGCCCGCCAGCAATGTTCAAGCTGCAGTCCTGGGCTGGCCCTCAGGGCCACATGGGCCCAAGATAAAGGTTAGGGTTTTCACCCCAAAAATGATTTTTCATTTTTATTTATTTTTATTTTTGTAACCACTGGTCACTAGTAACATCTAATATTTATTTATTTTTGAGACAGGGTCTTGCTCTGTCGCCCAGGCTGGAGTGTAGTCATGAGATCTCAGCTCACTGCAACCTCCGCCTCCTGGGTTCAAGCAATTCTCGTGCCTTGGCCTTCCAAGTAGTTGGGATTACAGGTGTGCGCCACTATGCCTGGCTGATTATTTTTGGATTTTAACTTTAAACTTATATATGGACTTAAAAAAACTTTTTTTTTTTTCATTTAATGTTTTTTATAGAGATGAAGTCTCACGATGTTGCCCAGGCTGGTTTCAAACTCCTAAGTTCCAGTGATCCTCCCACCTCGGCCTCCCAAAGTGCTAGGATTACAGTTGTCAGCCACCACACTCAACCTGGACTTTAAGTTATTAAAGACACATCTGACTATTCCGGCTATGTAATTTTGTTTTGTTCAGTTTTTTTGAGACAGCGATTTGCTCTGTTGCCCAGGCTGAAGTGCAATGGCGTGATCACGGCTAACTGCAGTCTTTACCTTCCCCGGCTCGGGTGATCCTCCCATGTCAGCCACCCAAAGTGCTGGGATCATAGGCATGAGCCACCACACCTGACCTCCTGCTACATTTTTAGTTTATACGTTCAAGTTGCTGCCCCTTCCCCAATGTTTTTCATTATGAAAATTAAGGCCGGCCGGGCGCGGTGGCTCAAGCCTGTAATCCCAGCACTTTGGGAGGCCGAGGCGGGTGGATCACGAGGTCAAGAGATCGAGACCATCCTGGTCAACATGGTGAAACCCCGTCTCTACTAAAAAAAATACAAAAAATTAGCTGGGCATGGTGATGCATGCCTGTAGTCCCAGCTACTCAGGAGGCTGAGGCAGGAGAATTGCCTGAACCCAGGAGGCGGAGGTTGCGGGGAGCCGAGATCGCGCCATTGCACTCCAGCCTGGGTAAGATGAGTGAAACTCCGTCTCAAAAAAAAAAAAAAAAAAAAAAAAAAAAAAAACAAACTCAAAAAAAAAAAAAAAAAAGAAAAAGAAAAAGAAAATTAAGGCCAAGGACAGTGGCTCACACCTGTAATACCAGCACTTTGGGAGGCTAAGGTGGGCAGATCACTTGAGGTCAGGAGTTTGAGACCAGCCTGGCCGATATGGTAAAACCCCGTCTCTATTAAAATTACAAAAATTAGCCGGGTGTGGTGGCAGGCACCTGTAATCCCAGCTACTCGGGAGGCTGAGGCAGGAGAATTGCTTTGAACCCAGGAGGCGGAAATTGCAGTGAGCCGAGATCGGCCACTGCACTCCAGCCTGAGTGACAGAGCAAGACTCTGACTGAAAAAAAAAAAAAAATTAGCCAGGTATGGTGGCGGGCACCTGTAATCCCAGCTACTCAGGAGGCTGAGGTGTGAGAATCGTTTGAACCCAGGAGGCAGAGGTTGCAGTGAGTCAAAATTGTGCCACTGTACTCCAACCTGAGCGATAGAGCAAGACTCAGTCTTGGAAAAAAAAAAAGAAAAAGAAAATTAAAGGTTGCCATAAGTGTGGACCAATGTGGTAAGTGCTAACTGAATTTTTATTGAATGAATAAACACTGGGCAGAGAGACATGCAGCTGAGCTGACCTCCTGGGGGTGACTCTGGTCCTGAAGCACTGGCTGGTTCGATAGCCCCCCAGGGTCCATTGGGACAGAGACACCACATCCCTCCATAACCCAGTACCTAAAGAATCCCGTCTTCAGGCCATAGCTTCGGAGGATACATTCAGTGAAGGCACAGGTGGAGCCCTTGAAAGAAAAAGGGATTGTCTGGGCAGGCTCTACCCTGCCAGCCCACTAAGTGGACCCACTACCCCCGGGTCCTGCCCCTCACCTTCCCCTTGGTCCCAGTGACGTGGATGATGTTCAGCCGGTCCAGGTCTTCCACCTGGGACAGACAAATGAGGTCCCCACCTCAGCTATGGAAATCACAGATGGGGGTGGGAGGTGGTCACAGGCCCTCTCTACCTTACCTGCAGCCCGCTTCGTGCCAGGTACAGTTCCATGGCTTCCAGCTGTGTCTGGGGGTCACCCCGCTGGCGCTTCGCCTGCTCCAGATAGCTGGCATTGGTCTGCAGGGTATTGAGCATGCGCACGGCATCCTGGCAACCACAGTGCCCGGGTAGCAGGTTAAGGTTCACTCAGGGCCCAAAGGCACAGAAACAGCCAGCAGGCCAGTGGCCAAGCCAGGGCAACAGGGGCAGTACCAGGCCTGCCCTGCCAGCCCTGTTACCCTAGCCCACAGGTTAAGCAACAGAAAGAGAGCATGGCAACTTTCCAGCTCTGGCAAAAAGGGATGGAGCCTAGGGCAGTTCGGCCCCACCCAGGGAGTGCCACACAAAGAAGGTGGCATGACTAACGGGCTAGCCTTGATTCCTGTCCAGACTCCCTCGGCTTCACTCCTAGGCCTTTGCCCTCATTCCCTCCAATGGGGTCCATTTCTCTCTGCCAGGGTGGGGCCAGAACTACAGAAGGTTAGGGTATTCAAATTCTGGAATTCCCTGAGGCTTCAACCCAACCCTCAGGACTCAGGTTCCACATTCCAACCCACAGAAGAGCAACCGGATGAGGAAGAGGGGGCTCAGAGGGAGGAGGGATGTGCCAGGGGTCACTCCACCAGGAAGGCAGGTAGGTACAGCTTCAGGAGGGCTCACAATGGAGGTGGGAGTTGGGGTGCTATTTCCTTCCCCTCAGGCCTCATATTCCGTATCTCCCGCCCTCAGGACCTCACAGCTGGTTGGGGGCCCCACTATCATCAAACCAGTGCCACCCGCCTGAGTGGCAACAGATTCTGGTCTAGGGCAACTGACTCTTGGCATAGCGCCCACAGACATTGTCTGTTTCCCGGGTTCTTGGGCCCACCACTACCCCTGATTCCTGCCTGTAATTCCAGGCAATTAGATCCCCAATCTTCTGAATTCTTGAGACCCCACACTCCATCTATACTCCTGGATCTTTCAAGCTTGAATTTCTGAGTCTTTTATCTCCCCTCTTTCCCCACTCCCACTGCAGGTTCAGACTCCAAGATCACTGAACTCCAGAACCACCGCTGAGCCTCCGGGCTTCTGGATCCCAGCTCCAGTGCCCCTTTCCACTCTCCAACCCGGGGCCCCGGGGACGCTACAGTCTCGGAATTCCCAGATCAGGCGGCCCGGGCCCAACTTCCTAGTCCCTGTCCCCACCCCCAGACTCCAGACTCCAGACTCCAGGATGTTCCGCCCCCCGAGTCCCCCAGTCCCGGGCTCCCGGTACGCTCTCCGTCAGCGGAGCCCGGATGTTCTGCAGCTCAGCGCAGGCCCACGTGTTGTCACACTCCTGCCCGCTGGCCCGCCCGATACCTGGTACTCCATGCTGGGCTCCTGTAGCACCGGCCACGCGCTCAAGCCCCGCCGCGCCGCGACCTGGGTCGTTACACTGCGCGCAGAAGCCGCTGCCAGAAACAGAGCAGCGCCCAGGTGGCTCCGCGCCGCCGGCGACATAGTCCCTGCGACACCCCCGGCAGCGCGCTAGGCCCAGGCTGGAGACGCCCAGCCCCGCCCCCTGCCAATCCGCGCAGCGCTGCCTCACCCCGCCCCGCCCCTCCCACCACCAATCAGCGCCGCCCCAAACTCCCGCCTCCTCGCCCCTTTGCACCAATAAAAAGCCACGCCTCACATGTGCACCATACTGGTGAGGGGCAGGCCCGGGACCCTGTTTGTGAGTGGCACGCTCCGGGACGTCCCCTCCCTTAGCGGGCACTCACTCCTTTCCTCAACGTCCTCCCATGGGACACCCACAGCGTGTCCCAAACTAGCCAGTCCCAGTTAGCAGTCCTCAGTCTCTGCTCTGAGCAGGGATAGGATGACAGAGGTGCAGACACCTGGTGGAGGTCATCGCATCCCGGCCCCAGAAAGTCCCTGGAGACAGCACGCCACGGGGATTTGGCCTCTGCCTTTACGAATCTGACAGCCAAAGCCCAGGCATCGACACTCCTGGGGCCCCTAACCAGCCCTGAGGAGACTGGGAAGGCTTCCTGGAAAAGCAACATCCCGACTAAGGCCTGCGAGATGGGGGAGTCGGGGAGGTGACAGGGTGGGGAAAGAGGTTTCCAGGCCAATGGAGGGAACCATGTGTGAAAAGCAAGAGATTGGAGAGAGAATGAGGCGTCTGTGGCTTCCAGAGTGCAGGAGGCCAGATCCACCCGGTCTTGTAGACAGAAAAGGAATTTGGATGACAATAAATGGGTTTTTGTTTTGTTTTTGTTTGAGACAAGATCTTGCTCTGTCGCCCAGGCTAGAGTGCAGTAGCACGACCTCAGTCTCCTGGGTCTTCAGCCTCCCGGTTAGCTAGGACTACATGCATGCACCACGATGACCGGGTAATTTTTAAACTTTTTGTAGAGACAAGGTGTCACTATGGCTTCCAGGCTGGCCTTGAACTCCTGGGCTCAAGCAATCCTCCTGCCTCTACCTGCCAAAGTGCTGGGATTAGAAGTGTGAACTACCGACTGGCCTTGACAATAAATGGTGTTAAGGACAGATGACATGATTCCATTTACACTTTGGAAACTCCCACCAGCTGGTACTGTGTAGAGGATGGATTTGAGGGCCACCTGGGAATGGTGGGGCAGTAATCCTTCCTTTCTGTGAGAGAGGAGGGTAGCTATTTGTCATCCTGGAGTTTTCAGAGCTTTTTCCCATCTATTATCTTCTTGGCCCCAACTGCTAGCATGAAAAAGTTGCATGTGAAATCCTTTTGATAGCTGAGGCCCAGAACTGGGGAGCAGGAAACTGCAAACAACCCACTAGGGAACATCACTCCAATAAAAGACAGTCCTTCAGATGATTAATGGAGTTTTAGTACCTCCTTCCCCTCTCCCTCTTCCCAGCATTGGGAGTAAATATTTATGAGAAATTGTCTGATTTCGAAATAAGCAACTGATGTTTTGGGAAGAATCCATCATTGGCTGGACTTCTGCTCTTCACACACTGCTGGGGTGCCCCCCCCCCCCTCCGCCGACCCCAAGGGAGATAGAGAAGTTTTTTCCTCTCTTGGTTTCCTTATTTTTTAGTCAGGGAAACTTTCTCTATGCATATGCATGTATATAGTTTAATGACTGCATAAAAATAATCATGAAGCCAGGCACAGTGGCTCACGCCTGTAATCCCAGCACTTTGGGAGGCCAAGGCAGGCAGATCACGTGGTCAGGAGTTCGAGACCAGCCTGGTCAATATGGTGAAACCTCGTCTCTACTAAAAATATAAAAATTGGGCCGGTGTGGTGGCAGGAGCCTGTAATCCCAGCTACTTGAGAGGCTAAGGCAGGAGAATCGCTTGAACTCAGGAGGCAGAGGTTGCAGTGAGCTAAGATCGCTCAACTGGACTCCAGCCTGGGTGACAGAGCAAGACCTGTCTTGGAAAAAAGTAATAATGAAGCTTTAAATATTTTTATTTTGCTTACTTCCTTCCCCCCTCCCCCCATACACAAACGCTTCCTCCTCTGGCAGTCCTGTTGACAGCTATGTGTCCCATAGTTTCTATGCTCATGAAACCAGACACATGTAGACATCTATAGGGTCTTGCCAATGCATGTGACAATAGTTTTTGGATCTTGGCTTTTCAAAACAATTTTTTTTTTTTTTTTTTTTTTTTTTTATCTCATTGTGTCCTTCAGGCTGGAGTGCAGCGGGGGCACAATCAGAGCTCACTGCAGCCTTAAACTCCTGCCCTCAAGCAATGCTCTCAATCAGGCCTACCAAAGTCCTGGGAACACAGGCATGAGTTACCAAGCCTGGCTGCAACTTAACTTTCTTACTCAGTAACAAGCTTATTATTTTCTAAGACATTTACTTAGCAAACACTTTCTCTTTTTTTTGAGATGGGATCTCTCTCTGTCGCCCAGGCTGGAGTACAGTGGCACCATCTTGGCTCACTGCAACCTCCGCCTCACGGATTCAAGAGATTCTCCTGCCTCAGCCTTCGGATTAGTTGGGATTACAGGGGCCCGCCACCACGCCTAGCTAATTTTTGTATTTTTAGTAGAGACAGGGTTTCACCATGTTGGTCAGGATGGTCTCAACTTCTGACCTTGTGATCCGCCCGCCTCTGCCTCCCAAAGTGCTGGAATTATAGGCGTGAGCCACGGCGCGCAGCCAGAGTCCTTATCCCTAGCCTCTGGGCCTCCTTCCCTGTCTCCCCAGGGACACTGCTAATTCAGCATCTTTAATGGCTGTGTGGCCTTCCTGGGAGAATCCTGCTTTCACCTGTGGACTCCTGACCTAGTGATCCACCAGCCTCGGCCTCCCAAAGTCTTGGGAATACAGGTGTGAGCCACCGTGCCCAGCCAGAGTCCTTATTCCTAGCCTCTGCGCCTCCTTCCCTCAGTGTCTCCCTAGGGACACTGCTAATTCAGCATGTTTAATGGCTGTGTGGCCTTCCCGGGAGCATCCTGCATTCACCTGTGGACTCCTGACCTTGTGATCCATCCGCCTCAGCCTCCCAAAGAAGTGCTGGGATTACAGGCGTGAGCCACCTCGCCCAGCCAGAGTCCTTATTCCTAGCTTCTGCGCCTCCTTCCCTGTCTCCCCAGAGATACTGCTAATTCAGCGTCTTTAATGGCTGCATGGCCTTCCCCGGAGCATCCTGCATTCGCCTGTGGAATGGCATTCATTCTGCCTTCAGTGTTTTGCTGCTATGGATATATGTGTACATCGAAGGACTTGATTTCTGTGAGTTGGATTGCATGGAGGGGTCGGGTTGGGTCCAGGGATGTTTGCAATCCTTTTCCCCAATGCTGCTGTCACCTTGGCATCCCAGCAGCTCTGTGTGTGACGGAAGCACCCCTCTCCCAGGATACTTGAACCCGGGAGGCAAAGGATGCAGTGAGCCAAGATCACGCCACTGCACTCCAGCCTGGGTGACAGAGCAAGGCTTCATCTTAAAAAAATAATAATAATGAAGCTTTAAATATTTTTACTTTGCTTTCTTCTCTCCCCTCCCCGCATACACCACAAACACTTCCTCCTCTGGCAGTCCTGTTGACAGCTAAGTATGTGTCCCATAGTTTCTATGCTTGTGAAACCAGACACACGTGGACATCTATAGGGTCTTGCCAATGCAGGTGACAATAGGTTTTGCATCTTAGCTTTCCAAAACAAATTTGTTTTTTGATGTGGAGTCTCACCCTGTCATTCAGGCTGGAGTGCAGTGGCGTGATATTGGCTCACTGCAACCTCCGCCTCCCAGGTTCAAGCGATTCTCCTGCCTCAGCCCCCTGAGTAGCTGAGACTATAGGCGTGTGCCACCACGCCTGGCTGTTTTTTGTATTTTTAGTAGAGACAGGGTTTCACCGTGTTAGCCAGGATAGTCTCCATGGTCTTGATCTCCTGACCTCGTGATCTGCCTGCCTCCGCCTCCCAAAGTGCTGGTATTATAGGCATGAGCCACCGCCCCCTGGCCAAAATTTTTTGTTTTTAGAGACAGGGTTCCAATCTATAACTCAAACTGGAGTGCAGCGGCACAATCTGAGCTCACTGCAGCCTTAAACTCCTGCCCTCAAGCAATGCTCTCACCCGGGCCTACCGGAGTGCTGGGATCACAGGCATGAGTCACCAAGCCTGGCTGCAACTGAACTTTCTTATTCAATAACAAGCTTATTATTTTCTAAGACATTTACTTAGCAAACACTTTTTTGTGTGTGTGAGATCTCTCTTTGTTGCTCAGGCTGGAGTGCAGTGGCGCCGTCTTTGCTCACTGCAACCTCCACCTCCCAAGTAGCTGGGACTACAGGTATGTGCCACCACACTTGGCTAATTTTTGTATCTTTAGTAGAAATTGGGTTTTGCCATGTTGAGCAGGCTGGTCTTGAAGTCCTGACCTCAGTGATCCACCTACCTCTGCCTTCCAAGGGGCTGGGATTACAGGCAGGAGCCACCATGCCCAGCCAAAGTCCTTATTCCTAGCCTCTGGGCCTCCTTCCCTGTCTCCCTAGGGACACTACTAATTCAGCATCTTTAATGGCTATGTGGCCTTCCCGGGAGCATCCTGCATTCACCTGTGGACTCCTGACCTCGTGATCCACCCGCCTCCGCCTCCCAAAGTCTTGGGAATACAGGCATGAGCCACCTCGCCCAGCCAAAGTCCTTATCCTTAGCCTCTGCACCTCCTTCCCTGTCTCCCAGGGACACTGCTAATTCAGCATTTTTAATGGCTGTGTGGCCTTCCCAGGAGCATCCTGCATTCGCCTGTGGAATGGCATTCATTCTGCCTTCAGTGTTTTGCTGCTATGGATATGTGTGTACATCAAAGGACTTGATTTCTGTGAGTTGGATTGCATGGAGGGGTCGGGTTGGGTCCAGGGATGTTTGCAATCCTTTTCCCCAATGCTGCTGTCACCTTGGCATCCCAGCAGCTCTGTGTGATGAAGCACCCCTCTCCCAGGATGCCCCAGACCACAGAATGCAGAGAGCCATCTCAGTGTTACTTTCATTCCCCTGCTGCAGTGATCTCGGGCATCTTCCCAGGCAATTTATTTCAGTGAGCTGCCTCACCCATCTTTGGACCATTT